AAGTCCCCCCACAGCCCCCTCCGAAGGGCCGCGGCCCCCTCCGCCCTCACATGACAGACCCCATCGGGACGATCCCTCCCTCCGCCGCTCCCGCAAAAAGGGCGCCGCCCCAACCAGCCGCCAGCCGCCCGAGAGGCCCCGCCCTACCGCACGGGGCCTCTCCGGGCCGGGCTCACATGCCGGGCGCGATCGCAGGTCGCGCCGCGATCGGGCAGGCCAGCGAGCGGCCGGGCCGCCGCCTGCTTCGCGCCCCGCCTGGCTCGGCTCGGCTCAGCGCCGCTGCGAGCCGCCGCCGCCGCCGCCTCCTCCTGCCATCGGCACACACCGAGCGCCACTTCCGGGTTGGGCGGTGCCACGCGCGCGTCCTGCGTCACGACGCCGTGCGCGCGGGAGGCGGGTTTCCTTGACGACGCGGGCGCCCGAGCTGCCGCTCGCCCCGCCCCCGCGTTTGGATTGGGGGAAAGGCTGCTCCCTTAGCCACGCCCCCGCAAGGCCCCTCCCCCTCTTGCTGTCACTCGGAAGTCTGCGCCGTAGCCATGCCCCAGGCCATGTGCAGAGTGTGTCTTTCTGTAAGCTATAAGGTAGGCATAGGTGGGTCTCCCGAGGCTTCTGGGCTCATGCAGACTGCGTTTACTTTCCCATTCCACACACAGCCAAGGACGATCTGCCTCCTCCAGTGTTTCTGGGCATGTACAGAGTGTGCCTGGTGCTACAAAGTGGAGGAAAACTGACCCCACGGTTTTAAGGCATCCTCACCACTCCCAGCGCTAAATTAGGTTGAACATGGGAAAATGCAGGGTGCTTCGTTTGCCTGAAGTGAAGGACAGGTACAATCTGCCCCCAATATTTCTAGGGATGCGCAGCGTACATGAGCTACAATCCCCCGATCGGGTAGACTTATTCTGCCCTCCCGATGTTTCTGGCTTTGTGCAGTTTATTTCCTTATCAGGTACAGCAGATCAATCAAAATTTCCCCCATTTTAAAATGTGCAAATGCTCAGTTTAACCAAAGCCCGATACTCTTTGTTTACCTGTCAGAGAGTCATGTACTCTCTGTGATAATCTTTGAAGGCTGCCATGAGGCAGACTTCTGCGAGCGACCCACATGACTTACCCCACATGGGGAGTAACCATGCCTGCAAAGCAGGAGTGGAGGAGGCTCCGTTTCTTATCTGTGCCAGGTCATTAAAGATACGTATCTAGAAGCTCCCTTGACCTCATCTGCTAGGATTTATTTCACCTGCGTTTGGGGCTGGGGGAGGAAGCACCCTCTTGTGCGTGTTCATCTCTGATCTTAGTTTAGTATCTCTTTCACACTTAATGCATAACTCGGCTTTTTCATTGTGCAATCTTCAAGAACTTGTTGGGAGCTGTGCTTTCTGTTAAAATGTGCATACAATGTTTAGGGATGTAAGAAATTGTTCCTGGGCTGGAGCAAAAGTTCCATCTCGAACCCTCTTATCTGGAGTTGCGCACTTGGTATGAAGGTGATATTTTTCTTGCAAGAAGCCACTGACTTGGTTTGCAAATAATGCTAAGCCATGAGGTTAGCTTGTTTGAAAACTGTTTTGTATTTGTGTTGGAACACTTCTCATAGTTTAATCACAACCCACATGCAACCCTTGAGTTTGAATTACCTTATCATCCAATTCCAGTGGTACTCAAGGTGGCTTGAGAAACCAACATAAAAATGTAAAATTAAAAGTGCACCGCTGTTAGAAATAAACAACCGACATGTCCCCAGATACTGTAGTACTCTGGACATTAATATTTTATGACAAATGTTAAACAAAGCTGGGATGTCTGTACTGATATTTATTTTTTTGACCCTTGTTGCTGAACCCTACTTCATTGATTTGCTTTTGGTTTAGGGCATTGTACGTTAATGCATTTAGAAATATGCATTTGAAATGACACGTTTTCCTCAAAATCTCTTCTTTTCGTTTTAATAGATAATCCTCTGATCCCTTTAAGAGATCTCTGTTGCAGAAGAGCTGGGGGTGGGAATTAGGGTTTGAAGAGCAGTTGAGGCAGCCTGTAAGGGCTGGCTTTCTGTGGTCAGCTGAGCCAGTGAGGGAATTGAGTGGGCAGGACTGGAAAGGGGGTAATTCTTGGATCCAGGTGAGTGGCTTGCATGGGTCTGCGGGTGGAAGGCAGCAGCTAGAAACGCGGACACCTGGAGAGTGGTCTGACGGTAAGGCTGATTGCAAAGTCCTGCCACCTGTTTGGGGCGGGGCTTCACAAGTCGGCCCCCTCGTTAACTTTTCATCATTTCGTTTTCGTGAACGCGGGGAGAAGAGGTTGACGGTTCAGGCTCTGGGCAGAAAGGCGCTTAGCTCCTTTTGCACGTTGCCACGAGACAGGTTAGTGAGGAAAGGGAAGGCATCCGGAAGGTGGGGACGCTGGATTTTTTATTTTTTAAAATTTTGCTCTCAAGTTAAGTGGAGGATTAATTATTGTAAGGTGTCCTGGGATGTTTTCTTACAGGACGGGGTAAAAATATATTTGAATGAATAAAAAATAAATAAATAAAGCAAGCCAGAGCTGGGAACGCTGCTAAGGGAATGAGCGGGGGCATAATTATTTAAGATGGTCCATTTTGCTGCCCCCTCTCCTTTACCATGAAGCTTGCCTTTCACTCCATCGTGCATCTTCCTTCCTCTTTCATGCAGGGGTGTCTATTTCTCAATCTGTTTATTTGAGTCGCATTGTTGTTTCCAAACTTCAGCGTGCAGACAGAGCCAGATTTGTGTCGGTGCAAGTTTTCCTGTACTGGGTTCCGAACAGCCCAACTGATCTGTGAAAGCTTCTGGCATGATAAATCTACTCGTCTTCAAGTTCTCATGAGTTGCTGCTGTTCTCACACCCACGGGATCGAATTTCTGCCCCACAGTTACCCCTCTAATGTTGTTCCTTCTAATTTAATTTGCTGCTGCTTCTGCTTGTAGCCCTAGTTCTAAAACACCTTTACTTTGAAAATGGCCCCCATGCAGGTCTACTAACGGCATGCAAAAGCATACTTTCCTGCCACAATCCTAAAGATGTTTAATCAGAAACAAACCACCTTGAATTCACAAGGGTCTGGGAAACCTCTCTTTGGATCAGACTGTTAAAATTTGTTTATTTATTGCATTTGTATGCCTCCCCCATACCAAAAAGCACTTTCTGCAGCTCACAGCTGCCGCAATGAAATGTTAAGTTGTGTGTATATCTGTATGTAATCTATTCATGGGATTAAAAGGCAGAACAAAATGTAATTAAGGAAGACTATTACAATGTGGAAGTACTAATCCATACAGCAGACTTCCCCAAACTGGGGACATCTGGAGGTCTGGGACTCCAATGTCCATCCACCTCTGCCACAACAGGGAGTGTCCCTGGATTGGAGGTGCTTGCTGTTGTATTCATAGACACCTGGAGGACCTAGGTTGGGGCTTGCCCTAAAATGTTTGTAAGAAGCAAGTCAGTATTAATTGTCCCCAATGGCCAGAAATTCAGAGCAGGGCAGGTGGACTGGGCTTGAGAATAGGTGGGTTGATTTCATGCATAGCAGGGTTGGAGTTGAACTGGTGACTTTGTGATGGCTAGCCAAGTCTCTTGGCCACTGCTTTTTTGCCTAGCTCTTTGGAACGTGCCAGATTGCTGCTTCTGTTGCTTTGTCTTCAGGAGGGGATTCTCCCATTCAGATTTGCAAACAAGCCTATGCAAGTCTCTAGTCCACAATATGTCCCATGTAGGATATTTACTGGCTTAAACCTTTGTCCAGTTTTTCTTGTCTTGTCGTGGCAGAGGTGTGTCTATGCTTTAATTTCTGCCTTGCTGAGGAAAGGGGTAGTAGACCATGAAGGGTTTGCCAAAGTCCAGCAAGCAAGGTCTTGGTGCCCCCTTTCTCCTATCGGAGTGGGCAGCCTGTTTGCTTCTGGGATGAGGGTTTCCTTGCATGCCACCACTGACTTTGAAGTACATGCACAGGATGAGCAATTCAGACAGCAAGAATCCCTGTGCTGGGTTAATATGCAGGCCAGTCTACTTGGAAAGGTTGCAGGAGTCTCCTCTGAGGCTTGTTATGATTTGGTCATTTGGAGGTTGACTTCCTCTGAATGTGGAGCCTCTATCTTGCAGGCAGACTATGCCCTCCTATGAGAACCTGTTTTAATGGCAGGATAAAATCTAGTTTTTATTCATTCAACCTAGTTAATCATCATTATTGTCATCTTTAATGCGTGACCCACAGAGGTACTAGTTGGTTGGATCTGTATCCTGAGCTGCCCAAGCCTGTTTTCCTGGTGGGGAGCTCCTTGGGGCCAGGGTGTTTAGTTCCTTGCTCACCAGCATTGCTGGCAGCACAAATGGCTTAGAATATGGTCTAAAGCTGTGTTTCCTAACTTAACGCCTGGCTGGGGCATTCTGGGAATGTACAGAGTGCTGCCTTGACCCAGGTCTGATCCAGTGCAGCTCTTCCCATTTTTGCTACTGCCAGCCTGCAATTTCACAATCCTTTCTCGCTAAGTGGTGGAACGAGCTTGCCTGTTTTACTCCTTGAGGGCGGGGGGGGGGCACTCCTGCAAGAGGGGCGGGCTGAATGCAAGTGGCTGCCACTCCTTCACTTTCCAGTTCCTGGGCAGAAGAGACCCCAAACTTTCCATCTACCCTTTTCCATGCAGCACAGCTGATTCGTTATCTCCGGCACCATGGCTTCTGGAGGAGAAGGCACAGATGACCTTGCTCTGTCAGGCACCGGCCTCCTCGATCTGATGTCCCCCGAGCTGGAGAGGACGAGCACCCCCGAGCTGGAGAGGACGAGCACCCCCGAGCTGGAGAGGACGAGCACCCCCAAGCTGGACAGCGGGGAGGAATTTGAGGTCCTACCGGACAGAGACACTGAGGAGGAACAGGATGAGATACCCCCACTGGAGGATGCTCCAGAATGGCTTGATGTGCTGGGTAAAACGCCCGTCTTCCCCATGTGCTCCCGCTCTGCTTTGAGTAGTCCTTGAACTCCCAAGTAACTGGAAGAAGTCCAGCTAATTCAACTCGAGCGCAGCTGCCCTTGGATCTGCCCCTTCTCCCTTCCTTCCTCCCCTGCACATTCCTTCTTTGCAGAGACACCACGCATATTTTGTCTGAGTTCTGTTTTGGCAGGGCTAGAGGGAAAGGGACGATGCCAGATAAAAGAAAACCAGACTGCAGCCCTCATTAAGCCATAGGAAATGCATCCCAAGCTGGGACAGAGGGTGGCAGTGACTGCAAAACTGCAGAGAAGACCCAGGGCTCTGAGAAAAGGGCCAGGACCCAGGAAAAAGGTGGTGGTGGTGGTGGGGGGGTGGCGGCTCTGGAGTAACCCCAGCAAGCCAAGCTGTGACTTGGAGTGAGCTGTCTTTGCACCCTCGCTTCTGCGCTGCAAGCAGATTAGTTTGGTCAGACTGGCAGGATTTCCCGTGCAGAATTTTGTGCAAAGCTCGCCTCTCTGTCTGCAGTATCTTTTCTGAGATGATGTCCAAGCAGGTGGGGCATGACGTGAGCGAAACCGTGTGTTGTTTATTGAAAGCATTTTCCTCCCCTTGGTCCTGGTTCAGGGAGCGGTTTGTTGAAGAAGAAGGTCCTTGTAGAGGGCCTGGGCCAAGACAGCCGACCAGTCAAGGGCCAGGATGTGACCATACGGATGAAGGCTATGTTGGAGGACGGCATAGTGGTGCTGGAAGAACCCAGGCTAACCTTCACACTGGGGGACTGTGACATCATCCAGGTGGGTGTCCACAGCTCAGCAAAATAACCAGTCGCCACCTCCAGCAGCAAAAAGTCTAGCTGTCCCACTCTCCACAGAAAGGATGAGGACTAGAACCTTGCTTTCAGAACCTCATTTTTCAGTTTGCCTGACTTTTAAATGGGAGCGTGCATTGGCTAGGGCAAAGGGATCTGTTTGCTTATGGCTGCATATAGGGAAAGGATATGCCTTCAGGAGAAACCCTTACTCTTTCTCCGTGGTCTCCAGACCCTTCCCTTCTGGAGGCTGCATATACTTGCTTGATGGGATCACTGCATCCAAGGGAGGGGGGCAGGAACACCAATTCCTGCCCCCCTCCCTTATTTTTAACCAGGTGTTCAACCTGCCTGCAAAGGAGATATTTTTGGCCCTTCCACTGTAGATTAAGTAAGATGTCAGTCCTCATGATTCAAAATGACAGGCTCATTTAAACAAGAAGCCACCACACACCAGGTTCACCTGTCTCCTGCCTCAGAGGTCTGCTCAGAGCAATAGCAGCCCTAGGATTTTGGGTGAGAAGGGCCTCGCCGCCAGCCAGTCCTTTTAACTGCTGATGTTGGGGTCTCAACCTGCATCTTTCTGTTTGCAAAGCAGATGTCTGCTACTGAGCTGCACTCCCCTCGTCCGTCTCCTGCCATCCCTCTCGGAGGCTGCCACGCTCCTGCCGCTGAACCCAAGTTGCCGAGTCGTGACACTAAGCAATTTTTAAGGAGGAAAAGAAGCACGTGCTTTAGGCTGTGTGGGATTCGTTTTTGCGAGCAATGCCCATAAAGGGTCGAGCTGCGTTTCTGTAACTAAGGCAGCTGGCAGAAATTTGGTCCCATATTCCTGGGAAATCATTGATACCTTCGCCTGCTTTTCAGGCAGCAAACCACTCTGATTGTTCCTTCATCCTCCTTTGACACCCCAGCCTGACTCCCTAATCCTTAGTCCATCCTTTCTTCTCCAGCACCTTCCCCAAGTAAATCTGTCCTGCATCTTTCTCTCCCCTGCAACAATCTAAGTCGTCTCTTTGTTCTCCCCCCCCACCCCCGTTTTCTCAGGCCCTGGATCTCTGTGTGCAGCTGATGGAGATGGGAGAGAAATCACTTATTGTATCGGAGGCAAAATACTGCTTCGGCTCACAGGGCAGGTACATACGGAACTGGGATTTGGGGTGGGGTGGAGGTCTGTCCGTGGTGGTCAGCTCAGCTGGTCTTGAGTCTGCAAAGCAGGAAGGCAATTGGATGAAGAGCAGCTATGGGTGTTGGGTGCAGCTTGGGGGCTTCTTGGAGAAAGGGCGCTGGACTACTTAACCCTTCTGGCCTGGTCCTCTAGGGCAGCCTTCCCCTCCAGGCAGGTGGAATCACCACTCCCATCATTCCACAACTAACCAGATAGATGGCAGAGGTAGTCCAACGTGTTTGGAAGCCCCAGGCTGGGGCTGCTAGGAAGCATGAATGTTCAGCCATTTTAAACCTGAGGAACAAATTCCATTTCAGGAATTTGGGCCACTTTGCAGCACTGGGTGATGGCAGGGGCAAAGGCAAAAGGGGTGGACACAACAACCCTGTGGAGTAGGCCAGGCTTAGAGTCAAGCACTGGCCCAAAGTCACCCAGTGAGCTTTATATATATTCTGATTTATACCCTGCCCTTTTCCTACAAAGGGCGCAAGGCAGCTTACATCATTCTCCTCCTCCATCTTCTCCCCACAACAACAACCCTGTGAGGTAGGTTGGGCTGAGAGGCTGTGACTGGCCCAAAGTCACCCAGTGGGTTCCATGGCCGAGTGGGGACTAGAACCCAGATCGTCTGAGTCCCAGTCCCATGCTCTAACCACTATACCACACTGGCTGTCATAATCAGCTTTATGGCTGATTAGGTCCTACAAGTATTTATTTATGTATTAAAAGCTTTTATAGGCCATCCACTACAAGCATCTTGGGATGGCTTACACGGAAAACAAAAATAAAAGGAATTCGGATCTCCTGAGCCTTACATTCTCACTGGTATCCCATATTGGCTTCCATTACACTATAGTTCCTCATTTAGGAGCTGTCATGGCACCATGGTGCAGATTAACCAGGTATGAAGCAAGCAGCACTCATCTCTGGCTTGTTAAAATACGGTTCAAAAGACTATGTTTGTAGTTATTTAATTTCTGCGCCACCTAGTGCTTTCTGTCTGTCAGCACTCCCTGAAGATACCTGGTTAACGTGGCTGGAAACTGGTCACTGGGCTGGAATGATGGTTTTTCTGACCTGGATGGGCCCATTCCCAGGCTCTTTGGCATAAGATGTTTTCTGTTTTTCTTTGTGCAGGTATCCCAACATCCCCCCTAACACTCCCCTAACTCTTGAGGTCGAGCTGTTGGCAGCACAGCAAGGTCCGATTTGGGAAATCCTTAACGGTGAAGAGAGAGTAGAGCTGGCGAACCGGAAGAGGGAATATGGCAATGGACACTACCAGCGGGCCGATTATATGCTGGCAGTCAACTCCTATGATATTGCCCTCAGGATTATCAATTCCGGTTGTAAAGGTTTGAGGACTAGCAGCTTGATTTCCTCTTCAAACAAACAAATCAAAAAAGCAATAAAAAATCAGCAGCACTTACACTTCTATAGGGCTTTTTACTCATATGTGGCGTGGTAGAAATACGTCACAGATGTATTTAAAACAAGAATGAGGCACTTTTGAAACCTGCCTTGGAGAGAGGGCTTTTGATTCATTTACTTCTTGGGTGGGGGGTGGGGGGTGTATTGGCTGGGGAATGGGATTCATTTGCAAGAAGGAAGCAAGGGAAGGTGCGTGTATATGAACAGGCATATATACAGAGATGGGGCTCCCTCGACTTCCCTTTATGGGCAGGAATTTTGGAGGAGTGCTCTAAGCACACTCGTAGAATGGCTTCCATGGGTGGTGGGGGGGGGCTGCCCACTTTCAAAGTGGTGGACATGTCTGGTCACAAGCCCCCATTTCGGCGAGGCTAAAAGAAAAGCAGCCTGCCTCAGATCCTAAGGTAAAGGTGGGCTCTGAACTGCCAAACACAGAAACCCAAATACTGATGATGCCAGGGGAGCCCTGTCATTCTGCAGCTCTCCAGCCTCCCTTCTGGGTGGTTTTTAATTAGAACAACGGACAGACCTCTTCAGAAATATCGCAATCAGGAAGGGTGCAGGAACATGGGGACCAAGGCAGGGGTGGAGGTAAAGGGGGTGGCTACCTGGAGGAGGGCCTTCTCCGTGGTGGCCCCCAGACTCTGGAATGCACTCCCCAGAAAGCTTCGCCTGGCGCCGACTTTATATTCCTTTCAGCACCAGGTAAAAACCTTTTAATTTACCCACTGTTTTGAAGATTAAGGAATTTTAATTGGCTTTAATATCTACAGTCACACTTGGCTTTCTGTTGGTGGTTCTATTGATCATGTACTGCTTCGCCTGTTTAGTGTTCTAATTTTTGTAAGCCTTCCTGGGACGATTTTCATATAGGACGAGGTAGGAATCTGTTAAATAACAGTCGCCGTTTCCTCCTGCAGTGGATTTCAGCCCCGACGAGGAAGAGGATCTCCTGGAGGTGAAGCTGAAATGCCTGAACAACTTGGCTGCGGCTCAGCTGAAACTGAACCATCATGAAGCTGCCATGCATTCCTGCAATCAGGTGCTGAGGCTGGAGCCGGAGAACATCAAGGCCCTGTTCCGTAAGGGAAAGGTATGGAGCATTTGGGGAAGGCAGGCCAAAGGACAGGAAACACAGAAACAGAGCGAGTCAGAAGGGGTCTCCCGGGCCATCTAGTCTGACCCCCGGCACCAGCCGGCTCTGCTCATGACATGCCCAAGGGAGAGGCCCCACAGCCCAGCTGGAAGGGGTTCCCCACCTCAGGTTATTCCTGATCTGGAGCTCTCCACCCTTCCCACCCCTCTGCAATTTTAGGTCCTGGCCCTGCAAGGCGAATACGGAGAATCCATTCGCATCCTGAAAAACGCTTTGACTCTGGAGCCTTGGAATAGGGTAAGCTTCGAACTCAGAGCTTCAGCAGCCCCTGAACTGGCCACGCTGGGAGTTAGTTCCAAGCAGCATCCCTCCTGCCTGTTTGCAGCTTCCAGGAAGGCTAGAATCCTCCTGCCGCCTCCTGCTTTTAGCAAGAGGATTTATGCCTTAGCTGTGCATGGGGGATCAGCTTGCTTTGTCAGCCAACAAGTGGAGGAATGAGAGAGATTAGGATAACCGGCAGTGTGAGAATGTCGGTGGAGACTTGCTGCATCTCCTGTTCTCTGTCAGAGCCAAAGAGGTTATCTTGCTCCTCTCCCGCAAGCAAAGGGCAAAAGCAACATCCCCCTTCTTTCCCTAGTTGGCTGGTTCTCGGGGTAGACTGCACCTGAACAAAGAGGCTCTCCACTGCTGAGCTACTGTGTTGAACCCCTCTTTCCCTCTGGTCTCCCCGCAGACCATCCAGACGGAGCTGTCAAGGATGGTGAGGAAGTATGCGGAACAAAAGAGCGTGGAGTCGGAGATGTACCGCAAGATGCTGGGGAATACCGAGGATGAAAGTGTGGCTCTCGTCAAGTATGAGCCAAAACCCTCAAGGGTAGGTGGCCGGGACGAAGGGTCCAGTGGGTGGGGGACCGAGAGGAAGGAGGGGAGTGGCTCTTACAGGGTAGCATTTGCACCTCTGCAAACCAAGGCCTGACCAGCACCTTTAGCGCATGGTTGCAGAGATGCCCCTCAAGCAGAAACCCCTCAAGGCAGTCTGAGTCTGCCTGGTTTAAGCCTTGGGGTGGTGAGCATCAGACGGTCCCATGCACAGTCCTGGGCACTGCACCCGGGAGAGGATATTTTAGGTCCCCTGACGGTGCAGACAAGAAGTGCCGAAGCAGAGCTGCAGCAATGCCCCCTTGAAGCAAAGGAGTAATCGAAATCAGGGTGGGGAACGATCGGCCCCACCTGATGTCTTTACGTCCCGCCTTCTAGCTCTTGGCAACGAAGCGTATGTTTGAAAACGGTTGTCCTGATGGTTCCCCTTTTCTTCTCCCCAGTCCATTCCGTGGAAGTGGCTGTTCGGGGCCACCGTCATGGCGCTGGGAGGAGTGGCCCTGTCGGTGGTCATCGCAGCCAGGAACTAGCCTTGCAACCGCAAGGACCCCATCCCAAATGGCCTTCTTCCCCCCCTCCCCTCCCCTCCCCTCTCTTCACTTGGTTCTATTGATCAGTGGGCAACTTTGGACTTTGGTTTGTTTTGCGAGGATGGGGGGGGAGTGGGGGAATGCTTCTCTTTTCCCCACTGGAGGATCTGCCGACTTCCCCAGCTGGACACGGAACGCCATACCGGATCTTTCTCCTGACTTTGACTTCACGGGTTGGTTCCCAGGATTGGGAAGGACCCAGAAGAGTGAGGATGCTTTTCCAGGAAAGCTAGGAACCGCGACACACAATCTCTTCTCTCTCCTGTCTGGGAGGGGTGGGCGCATCCATTTTTCTCCCATTACTTTCTTGGTCCTTCCTTCTACCTCGGGTCTATCAGGGTAGGGGTCTGGCAGTATTTTTTGGCCAGGATTTGAAGACAAGGAGCTTGTGACTTTGAACTGGAGCGGAGGTGTGTAAGACTAAGACTGCAGGAGACCAAACCTTCTAGCCTGCTGACAAGAAGCATGTTTTGAGATGGTTTGCGAGCGCCTCCTAGGTACAAGCCATTCTTCAAGCTGGTCTGTGTTAGATGTTTTGGATTCTGGCTCCCATCCGCCCCACCCAGCATGGCCAGTATTTGGGGGTGGGGGCGGAGCTGTCGTCTGAAACATTTGGAGAGGGTGACTGGTATGGCATTTCTTAGGCAGCCTCCAAGCGGGGACCCCTTGGAAGGGCTGACGGGGTTTGTGGACCTAGGCCCCATTTTGATATGTGCAAAGCACTTGAGCGACAGGGTGAGGTGAGTGGAGTTAACTCTCCTCCTGTTGCCGAATATGGGGGTCCTGCCGGCCCCCACCCCCTTGGATTCCTCCTCCCCTCGATTTTCCCTCTGCCTCATTTCAGTTGTCAACCAGTTCACCTTCACCAGGATTCTGGTTTTTTTTCTTTCTTTACCCAGCAAAGTGTCTCTTTTGTGGTTGACGCTGTTGAATTTATTCTTTGAACAATTCAATAAATTGAATCACTGCATTGCTTTGCAAGTGGTGTGTCCCTTTATTCCTGGCGCGATCTGCAGAGGTGGGGAGAGGGAGGGAGGTGACTTTCTGGGGCCTGCTTTGAAATTGGTTGTTTGTTTTAAAAAAATAGTGGAGGGCAGAGAAGGCTGGGGGACGGCAGCCTGCCGTGGTCACCCCTGGAGGGTGCCCTCATCAAACCGTTCTCCAGCCTTAATGCATTTGAACATCCTCTCCTACAGTTAAGTTGCTGTTTGAGCTTTAAAGCAAAAATAGGATAAATTTTCCTTTGGTCCTGCTCCTTGTCTTTCACCCCGTCCTCCCTGGAACAAAGCTGCCAAGAGCTTCTTCAAAGGAAAAGTCATTCTATGGCTTTCGCAAAGGACAGCATACAAATGTCTTAAGTAAAATCAAATCTGACCCGTCAGGGCAAGAAATCCAGATTTTCTCCTGTACTTTCCTTATGGGTATCTGTTGAATGTGATGCCCCAGCAGGACTTCAAACTAAAGGCTCCTTGCTCCAAACCTGCCACCACAGCTATCCTGTGGTGTTTAGTCCAAGGTGCTGGTGTTTAGCTGCTAAAATAACCCATTTTTGCAGGTCGGTTAAACAGCTCCTGCCTCCCCTGTCTTGAAGTTCATAGGCCTGGAAGCCCTTCAGCAGAGCTGTACCAACAAAGAGGGTGTCTTTCTACTCCGTAGCACCAAAACTCAGACACTGCTCATGCCTACTGAGTTGTCTGCACCCTGGAGTCCTCCACACTTAAAGTATCTTAATGTTTGGCCTTGCAGTCAAAAGTGCAGAAATATCTTCAGCTGGTAGGGGCAGATGCAGATAACTAAGCACATGCAGCATAAATTGGAAGCCAGGGCTTGCTCAAAGGTGTTTTTGTATTTGGCCAAGTTCTTCCAGCTGGGCAAAGGCAGGGCTGTTGCAAGCAAACAGGAACACGTATCCTACTCAATGTCTTTGTGCATCGAATGCATGAGGGTTCCTAAGACTTAGCACTGAATTCCTAATCCCCCGTCCCACATCAGGTATTCAAAGGTAGTTGTCTGACCCATTGCAGCCCCATGGACAACATTCCTCCAGGTCTTCCTGTCCTCCACCATCATTCAGACTACCCTTTATTTGTAATTGATGTAATTATTGGTAATTAGCAGTGGCTTCCCCTATCCATGAATCTGTCTTAACGGTTTTGCTACAGGACAATCACTGGGAGTTGTGAGGAAAATTTGGATAAATCCTGGCAGAAAAACGTTGCTTAAATGCGCCTTTGTGTTATAAAATCAAACTTACACCTCTTTCTCAAAAGCACCAGCTTTCCAAGCCAGGTCACGGTTTAGTGTTGCTGTTGCCTTAAGAAGGTGTTCTTAGCTGGACTGGGAAGCCACGCATACTTGTGTTCTCATCAGCTGTAGAAAAACTGAAATAATGCTGTTATAATGTTAGTTTCTGAATGGGCCCACCGAAGCAGAGGCAAGCTCTGCTGAGTTTAAGTTGCCAAACCAGGCTTCCTAAATGCTTCCTCCCTCAGACACATTTGCGTGTGTGAACAGACGGACCCGGCTGACCTGAATGATCAAGAATTTACTAGACTGACTCATCAATACAGCAATCAGTCATGCTTCCCAGACTGTTGTTACCAGTATTTCTGATGGGTTTAGAACATTATGTCACTGCAGATTGTCAGAATCCCGGAATCTCAATTTGAGAAGAGGGAATAAAACTCGGGTTCATGGGAAAGACCAAGCATCCATACCATCTGAGGCTTTATTGTTTTACCCCAAGTTTCCCGCGGTACACTCACGAGAATGCAGGCTGCACTACCGGGCAGGCAGGGATGAACTCTGCTGCAAAGCTTCAATACCACTACAGGGCATTTCTAGGTACACAGGTACAGGGCGATTGCTGACAGAATGCAGAGATTACAATAAGATTCTGAGGTCATCACACACAGAACAGATAAAGGAATGTCAGTCAATCACACTGTAACAGTGAGATTAAAATATTTCTAATTGCCTGTATTGACACTTTAGTTGAGCAACTTGACTCCATCTCCAGGTCTGCTCAGACATGCAAATTCAAGCTACTAGAAACTATTCAGGATAAGCGCAGACCCTTATCTCGACTCTAAACTTTCTGCTTGATAAGGGCACATGAAGTCCTCTGGGTTATCAAAAGATTATTGTAAACTGAATTCCAACAATGACTATTTACAATGTATATTTGGGCTAAAATGGCTTGTCTACTGTAGCCTACAGCTAAAGGTGAGAGAAAGGAGCGGGGGAATGCCATTTTAGACAGTGACTGCTTGGTTTTGAGAAGGAAGGCAGGATTTGATCCCACAAGGCTAAGGTACACAGGAGTAATGCTTTTCAGACAAGATTCATCCAAATTTTCCCAACAGATGATACTAAAACTGGAGCAGTGGCCACAACTGAGGAGCAGGTACTCTGGATCCAGAAGGATCCGGACAGACTATGGAAGAGGGTGGGGGACAACAGGATGGTGTTCAATGTGGATAAGTGCAAGGTCTTGCACTTGGGACATGGGAATGGGTGTTGTAAGAACAGGTTAGGGGACAAGTGGCTGGAGAGCAGCGCTTGTGAGAGGGACCTCGGGGTGCTGGTTGACTGCAGGCTGAACATGAGCCAGCAGTGGGATGCGGTGGCCAAGAGGGCGAACGCCACCCTTGGTTGCATAGCCAGAAGTGTGGTGTCTAGACTGAGAATGGTATTACTACCACTCTATACGACTCTGGTGCGCCCGCAACTGGAGTATTGTGCTCAGTTCTGGACCCCTCATTACAGGAAGGATATAGCCAGGTTAGAGTCAGAGCAGCGAAGGGCCACAAGGTTGGTGGCCGGTTTGCAGGGGAAGCTGTACGAGGTGAGACTGAGGGAACTGGGCCTCTTCAGCCTGGAGGAGAGGAGACTCAGAGGGGATTTGTTGGTGACAAACAGGTGTGTGAGGGGGTGTCACACGGAGGTGGGGAGAGACCTGTTCTCCCCTGCAGAGGAAGGCAGGACGCTCTCCAGCGGAGCCAAGCTCAGGGAACCCAGGTTCCATTTGGATGCCAGGAAGCACTTCCTGACAGTCAGGACCCCGAGGGTGTGGAATGGGCTTCCCCGGGAGGTGGTGAGGCCCCATTGGCGAGGGTGTTCAAGGACAGGCTGGACATGCACATGGTGGGCATGTCGTGAGTGGAGCCAGCTGGAGCCAGGGGTCAGACTAGATGGCCCGGGAGACCCCTTCTGACTTGCTCTGTTTCTGTGATTCTATATTTCATGCCCAAAGACGTCAGGATGTTCTTGTACCAACATTATCAGGAAACTTAACACCCTGTACTGGTGTATTATTATTATTATTATTATATTTCTATGCCGCCCCTTGCCGAAGCCTCGGGGTGGCTTACAACACAATAAAATACATTGAAATACAATAGAACATAATAAATTACCACTAAATACAAAAATACAAAAAAAAAACAAAACAAAAAACAAAAAAAATACAAATGTATGTGACTAGCAGGTTATAAAATGTTCTGTACATGTACTGAAACCTCGCAGTTGAGTTTACCCCTGTCTGGTAATGCATTATCATTAGTTGACTGCAGGAATTCTGGGGCACCAGTCAATAAAGCAGCAGAGGTTCAAATGTTTGATCTTTCCCATAAACCCAAGTTTTTATTTTCTCCTCACAAATGGAAAGCCGAGATTCTGTCAGGGTGACCTCCCACCACATCACTGTCAGCTGAAGGTACTTGACTGTGGTAGGCTGCAGGGACAAGTTTGCTACTGAAAAGCTGCGCGCTCTGCCTTACCTGCTGCCCTTACTGAGCCTCCGAGGCAGCAAATCCCCTGGCTTTTCACCTTAAAAACACTTCAATTTTTAATTCCAAATTCAGCAAGAGAAGGAAAAAAATCCAGTACACCGTATGTTTGCTTCTTTGTTTTAATAACTGCTAATGTTTTACATGAAACAAACACATCAACTTTTGAGCTGGCAATTTGACATTAGCAATCCCTCAACTGTTTCCACAATTCTGTCTCATACTTTAGCCTTCCCTTTGTTGAGCATAGTAAAATGCACACACACACACACACCCTCCCTTCCTGCCCAGCATATGTCTTAGGTTTTGTTTTGCCCTAAAGCGTTTCAGCCGGAGAAAAATTCAGCAGGCAAAAAATCCAACCACACTGGGGAAATAGGAAGACGATTTATTGCACGGAAGGAATACCGACAAGGCCAGCTGTTAAGTAGGGCTCTGGTAGGTGCACGGGCTGAGTGAGAGGCACTCTGCATAGGCGCAGGGACCACGTGGCACCCCATGGGGCACCCCAGGTGTTGGCTGGACGATGGCCGTGTTGCCGGGCTTCAGGGGTCCTTTGGCTTGTCCCCCAGCTCTTTCTGCTCCCCGCTGGGTGTCTCCTGTGCAGCTGGCTTCACATCAATGGGGATGGCCTTTCCGGTGGTTGATGCGGAGGCCAGGCGCAGGGCCTCAACGCACAGCTGCCCGTCGGGGGCTAAGGAGCAGGTCACGCTGTGGAGGTCAACCTCGGGTGGGAGCAGTGTCTCCCGGTACAGCTCCTGGTGCTCCCGCCAGTGGCCGCTCTCCTCGCTCCTGCTCTCCCTTTGGCGCTTGGCGGTCACCGTCACCCTTCTGCCGTCCAGCTTCACCTCCATCTCCTCGGGTGCGAAGCCGGCCACATCCACGGAGAAGCGGTACTTCCCATCCGGCTGGCCCCGGCTGGCCACCTGGGCATCGCTCGCGTCGCACGCTTCGGCCCGGCCCTCGCGCTCCCAGGACACGAGTGGCGAGGCCTGGAAGAAGGCCCGGCTGATCTTCTCCATCTCTTGGAACTGCTTCTCCATGTCGCTCACCACCCGGCCCATGAGGCTGTGGGCAGGCGGCCACAGGACCCGGCAGGCCGGCTGTGCATCGCTGAGCCAGAGGGGGCCGAGTCCAGCCAGGGGCCACCGACGCAGCGGCAGCATCTGCAGCAGCAGGCGGGAGTAGCTCGCCATCGCGGTGCAGTCGGGCAGAGCGATCTTCCTCGGTGCGGCTTGGCTCGGTGCTTTCTGGCCGGCCCTCGGAGACGCGGCTGCTTTTATAACTCCCGTGGCCTGCCTTGCCCTGCCCACAAACAGAGCTGAGGGGACGGGCTTGGCTGGCGTTCAGAAATGACGCAAGGGCTTGAAAGAGCTTTCCAAACAAGCCTGGAAGGAAGGAGAGCCTTCCAGAGAGAGCTGGAGCCGGTTCCCAGCAAAAGGGGCCAGCGGGCTTGCCTGCCAGCCAGCCAGCCCTGACCCCCCACAAAACAAGGTTGCCCCCGAAGTGCTTTTACAAGCCGAGAAGAGCCCCTTCCCCGGTTCCTCCGGAAAGCAGCTTCCCCGAGCAACGTGTTTGCTAGCAGCCCCTGAAAAATCTCGTCTGCTTGCCACGGTGGGCCTAGCCGCCGGGGGTCCCTGCACCCTGTTCAGCCTGAAGATAACGCTGCATATTATTGCCAGAAGCCCACCAAGTGGACCCTGCCTTTGATCACACGGCTTTTCACCATGCCCGAGTCCCCACTTGCGTGTGTTATTCTGCTCTGTGCACAGCAGGGTGACTTCGAGCCGTCCAGAATTTTTGATCCACAGCCCCTCACACCTCGGCTTCAGCGATGCTGGCAAGTGTGGATGGGAGTTGTAGTTCCAAGAACCAGCCCTGCTGACCTCGAAGTAAGCTTCAGGGAGGAAGGAGCGTGGCTGCTTGGATAGTGGATCAGCAGAGGGCCACCCAGACCTCGCTCCGTTGCTCGGTCCTCTGACCACTGAACCATCTTTCCCTAATCCGGTGTCCTGCGCCTGCGTTGAGGCTACAGTTCTGAGCTAGGGCTGGCAGGGGGATGCTGGGAGTTGTAGTCCACCATGCCTAGTGGGCACCCAGTGGGAAAAGGCAGTACCACACTGCATTCCCAAGTGTGGCTTTGGCACATGGTGCGTTAAACACACTGTGCAAAAATCAAGCTGTGTACCATGGGGGGGGGGACACAGTCCCCCAAGACACTCATGTTGCTGGAGCGGTTTGGGGGTGGGGGGGTAAAGCATAACTTCATTGCCTGCCCATATGGCTAGTATCTCTCAATCCCACCTGGGTTCCCTCTGGATGTTTTGGACTACAACTCCCAGCATCCCTGGCCCATGCTTGCTGTGGATGATAGGGACTGAAGCTTAAAACACCTGGGGGAGCATCCAGGTGGGAAGGTTCGAGTGCTAGACTGGGACTTTGGAAATCCACGTTCTGCTCCCCACTTGGCCCTGATGCTCATGGGTGACTGTGGGACAGCGTCGGAGACTCAACCTGGCCTTCCTCACAGGGTTGTTGTGACAATAAACTGGAGAGGCAAATTATGCAAACTGCCTTAGATTTCTTGTCAGAATGGATAAATAAGGACACTCAAACTTTAATCCTAAGCCCTGAAAGGACAGGGAGCACAAAAATATTTGCTTCACAGATATACAGATTTCTTTTTTATTTAGTCACAAAGTCGTGCCTGACCCATCGCGACCCCATGGACAACACTCCTCCAGGCCGTCCTGTCCTCCACCATCCCCTGGAGTCCACCTAAGCCCAGACTCACCGCCTCCAGTGTCCCCATCCAGCCCCCTCATCCTCTGCCGTCCCCTTCTTCTTTGGCCTTCAATCCTTCCCAGCACCAGGGTCTTCTCCAGGGAGTCCTTCCTTCTCATTAGGGGGCCAAAGTATTTGAATTTATAAGTCAGGATGCACATTTAGATGTAAGTACTGAGTTTAATTTAGATAGAAATGTAAAACATTTGCCCCACTGGGGAGGATCCACTGACCAGGTAAGCTGCGTCTGGCTCAGTATTTTGCCGCTTGTCCAGGGTCTGGTACCTATTCTGGGGCAAATACAAGCTCCACCCTGCTTTTTTACTATCAGTTGCATCATTTAATCCTAGGTCAAATTCCATTTTGAAGAAACATCCCAAGACTATGCAGAGTCCAAAGCACAAAGGCCGCCACCAAGAATACAAGCATATTTCACCTTCAGATTCTCCTGCCAGTAGCTAAGTCTTATTTATTTATTTAGGATATTTCTAGGCTGTCCATCACTTTCGTCTCTGGATGGCTTCCAATAAAATCTATAAATACAGAGTGCATATCCCAAACAATAATAAATTAGATATCCCATGAAAGAAATATAAAATCAATTATTAAAATAAGTTATACAGATAAAAATAATTATAATAATAATTAAAATCTATTAGCATTAAAATATTGGTTGAATAAAAAGGCCTTGACCTGGCACCGAAAAGCATATAGTGACGGCACCAGGCGGACCTCTCTGGGGAGCGCATTCCATAGCCGGGGCGCCACCACAGAGAAGGCCTCCTCCGGGTACTCTGTCTCCTCATCTCCTTCAAGGAGGGTTCCTGGAGGAGGGCCTCTGCTGCAGATCTTAGGGGGAGGGAGGGCCCCCTATAAGGAAAGAAGATGTTCCTTTAGGTATCCCAGTCCCAAGCCAGTTAGGGCATTATAGGTCCAAACCAGCACCTTGAATTGGGCCTGGACTTCAACTGGAAGCCAGAGGAGCTGGTAGAAGACCAGCGTTATATGAGAATAATGGCTGGTCCCCGACAGCATCCTGGCTGCTCTGTTTTGGACCAATGGAAGTATCCGGACCGTCTTGAAGGAAAGCCCCACATAGAGCGCGTTACAATAGTCCAAGCTGTAGGTTACCAGAGCATGTATACCATTGCTAGGCAGTGCTCATCCAGGTAAGGATGCAGTTAGTGGATCAGTCGAAGCTGTAGGACAGCACTCCTTGCCACCACCTCCACCTGGGCATCCAGGGACAGCTCTGGGTCCAGGAGCACTTCTCAACTGTGCACCCTGTCCTTCAGAGGGAGCCTTAGTCTTAGCTCTCCAAGGTAGCCCCAGTTTGTTTAGAATGGAGGGGACAGGATTAAAGGGCTGGAAGTCAGCAAGAGGCCCCTGAAAAAGGGATTGTAGTGTTGGCAAAACTGCAGAAAAGAGCAACTCAATGGATCAAGGAGCTGCAGCAGCTTCCCTATTAGGAAAAGTTACAGCTGAGATTGTTTTGCTTGGAAAAAATGGGGGAGCCATGAAAGAGGCACACAAAATTATGACAGGGATGGGGACGGTGACAAGGGAAACCTTTTTCTTCCTCTCTCATAGCAGTAGAGTAGAGCAGTAGAGTCTCTCACCAATCATGGGGTCATCCCATGATTGGTGAGAGACTCAAGGCAGATCAAAGGAAGTCCTTCACACAGCAGGAACTGTGGAACTCACGGCCACAAGATGGTGTGTTGGCCACCTATTTGGAGAGCTTTGAAAAGAGCCTGGACAAAGTGGTGGAGGAGAAGGCCATCGGGGTATTGCCCTTAGGAAATCCTAAAACAGTGGATTGAGACCCCAGTTAAACCAGATTTGGCCCACAGACCTGAAATTCTACACCCCCACTTAAATTTGGTGCCCGCAACCTATGCTCAACGGATGAACTTATAAATAAACAGAACTATTGCTAAATGTTAAGGAACCTCCAGCAACCTCCTTCCAAAGGCAACCAAACTCAAGTGGGTACTGGGCTTGCCACACGTGTAACTATGACTTTTTTCTCCTTTTTGCTGGCCAAGGCGAAAGAAAAGGGCCAGGAGTAACACGTCCACTTTAAAATTGTCTGCTTCCTACCTCTTTGCAGCCTCAGCCCTTCCCTTCCACAACCTTGACCATGGAACTTCTTACATCTGTGTTGCATCATTCCCACATCTGGGCCTGCTTCTAAGTGCCAAGACACAGGCACACTCGGCTGTTTCTCTCGCAGGCCCCAACCCGCCACCCAGTGGTAGAGCTGGCAAAGATCCGTGAAGAACTTTGCAGAAAAGCAGGTCGGATGGCTAAGTGGAAATGTGAATTCCTCTTTCCTTTATTCTGTTAGATTCTTTCTTTTCTTCTCTGTGTCACCCCTTCGCCAAAGTTCTTTAGGAGGTGTTCAAAGCAAAGTCTTAAAACCATAAAGAAAAACTAGGTTGGAAACCATAATGTGCTTGGAGAAGGATGAAAGAGAAAAAAAAACCCAGAGCAAAAGAAAAAGGTCTAAAGTGCACAAAGGGCACAAGCCGAAGGGTTGCCAGCGGGGCCTTTGCGGGGAGAGGGGTTCTTCATAGCCCCAGCGCTAGGGTTCACTCTGACGGAAGAGCCCCTGTCCTTTGCAGTCAGTGCAGAAAGAACTGCCCTAGAAAGGGGGAAAGGACGCGGGAAGAGGCTGGGGCTGGCTATCTATGCAGCTGCCCCATCCTGGCCACACATCTTTCCCTCCTGCTTCCCTGGCAGGTGTGATTAGGTGTCATGAGTTAAGATGTGGTGGTAAGGTAACCAGCAGTGCTTTTCTTGTAAAAAAAGAAAAAGTGCCAGAACTCACGTCTTGGGGTCACACTTTTACACTGAAAAAGATTTGCAATTCACCAACTTTTTCTGAAATAAAGAACTTATTTACCTTTTGCATGTAGCCAGTCACTCTACACACACACAAACATAATGGTCGCTGCTGGCAGTAAACACTCAGTGCACGACCACACGACCGGTCCCAAGCCGAGCAGCGTCCCGAGCCGAGCAGCGCCCTCACAAGCAGCGCTGACACACCAGCAGCCCACAGGCACTATGTTAATGATTTCTGCCGCCGACCTGCTACGCCCAACAGGGCGATTCACAATCACTTGGAAAAATCCGTCAAAAAAGGTGCCAGAATGCCATTCTGGTGTGTTCTATGACAAAAAAATCCCTGGTAACCAGTATCCTGCCTTGTTTCAGCCTCTACATCCAGGTAAGCCTCTGTAAAGTTCATTTTACAGGTGAGAAAGGCTGAAATTACGAACACAAAATTATAGCCGAAAGAGAAGTGTTTCTCTTTTCTCAACTATTGTTAAAGGAGTTGGAAAACTGCATAACACCTGCAGGATTTCAAATATCCCAGTCTAGGATCTGCTCAGCTCTGATACTTGGCAAACCTGATACCTGCCTTTTACACAATCTAGCACCCACTTCTTTACACCCCCTAAATTTAGGCACCTGCTGTAGTTTGTTCACTTGACCAGAGATCTGAAAACCAAAAACATTCTGGGAGATGCACCCCCATAATGACATGTACCTGCGCATTGATTATCCACCAGGGGAAAAAGGTTTGTATTGAAAATTTTTATTATCAGAACACATTTCTTGATAGTTCAAGCAAGGATGGGTTTTGCCTGTTTCTTCTTAGAGTCCTTTGAGTGCAGGCTGACATTCAGCCCTGTGCCCGGCTGCTTCCTGTGGATGGCAGTTCCGGCTCTGCCTGGGCACCGTTTTCTGGCCTGTTGACCGCGATGGGCACCGTCCGTGCAGCGGGTTCCGACACCGGTGCTTCGATGCGCAGCTGTCCCTCGCTGGAGATGGAGCAGGTCAGGCGCTCGCGATCCACGGTCTCCGGCACATCCCACTCCCTCCGGAAGAGCTCGTAGCGGAAGGGGCCGTCGGGCGTCTGCGTGGCCTTCTTGCCTGTCAGCACTACTTTCTCACCGATCAGCTTCACCACCAGCTCCTGGGGGTCAAACCCAGCCATGTCTTGTGTCACCGCGAAGGCGCCCTCAGGCCTCGCCCCTTCGGCGTGGCGGACCGACTCGTGGCTGCTGGTCGTGCTGGTGCTGCTGCTGCCGCTAGCCACGGGCCTCCAGTTGCCTCTCAGTAGCTCCCACAGAGAGTCCATCTCCCGTTCTAGCTCGCTGAAGAGCGAGCTGCTCCTGGGCCACAAAGCTCGGGTGCCTCGCAGGGGAGTCCGCGTCCGGGGTGCTGCGAGATGCAGTCGGCACAACATTTCCGTCCTGGGGCAGGAAAGCTGAGCAGCTCTGTTCTCCACGCCTGAGGCTGATGCGCCCGTCTCTGTCGGCTGAGACTTGCTGTGTTCCGCAGCTGTGGAAGCCGTCCCCTTTTATTCTAGTCCTGGCCTTCTTGGAATAGTTTCGCCTTGATGCTCCACCTCTCAAAGGATGCATTGAGCTCAGCACAAGACGCCTCATTCTGGTTACTCAGTCGCCCAAAGGGGCACAGTTAGTCCCACATCCCTCCTGCTCTCACTGCTTTGGCCTGCGGCTGCTCTATAATTAGGACAGCCTCTCGCCCTCATGAGAGCCAAAATAGAAACTGAGGTGAGCCATGGCTCAGACGGGGGCTGCTGCCAAACAAGCAGGCCGTGTCACTCAGATTCGAGCTTTGGAAGCACTCCAGGGAGAACGTTTGCCACGGAGAAGGTTCTTCCTCACTCCAGGACATATCATTCTGTGAAGCCAAATGCAGAAGATGCAGGCTCTTCCACACTGCGCACGGTTCAACTGTGGAACTCGCTGGCCCATGGTGTAGACAGCCTCCAGTTTGGATGGCGATCGTAGATACACCATGGAAGAGTAGTTACTAGTCCTCATGGTTTTTTGCTACGTCCAGCACCAGTTGTAGGATGCTCAGGTATAACCCTTGCTGGGAAAATCCAGATAAATCCTGGCAGAAAAGGGTTGCTTGTGTGTCTTTGTGTTAAAAAACGCCTGCACCCCTTTCTCAGGAAGCACCCAAAAAGAGATTCCAAGCCGGGTTACTGTTTGGCATGTGCTGTTACTTTAAGAAGTGGGAACTGATGGCTTCTGGAAGAAGCTGCCAAGGCTATTTTTGCTGATCAGTAAGAACCGATGATGCCCCAGTTTATGTATGTATGTATATATGTATGCATTTAGAAGGCTTCTATGCTTCCCCATTCGCCGAAGCCTCGGGGCGGCTCACAATAATAAATAAATAAGAACAGTATAAAACAATATGAGTCAACCTGGCCTGAAAAGTAAAATAAATAAATAATATTAACAATTAAAATAGAGTTTGAATAAAAAGGTCTTTGCCTGGTGCCGAAAAACAAATAACGACAGTGCCGGGCAGACCTCTCTGGGGAGCGCATTCCATAGATTAACATCATCGCAATTACCCTTGCTGGCATGCCAAGACTCACCACAATCCCTGGGCCTCAGTGGTCACTGTGTTAATCTCCTGCAAACGAATGCCATTCTGTTGAGCCCCCCTGCAGACCTACCAACTTCTTCTGACTGTGTTTTCCTTTTTTTGTCTTCAACTGCCCAGCTGCTGGGCCCATGTGACTTAGAATCCATAAAACATTCTGTGTGTGCTCTAGAAGCTTGTAGCTGGCTGCAAGGACCCCTACCCGGGAGCATGCTGTCCTAAGTGACTGCAGGGAACCCGGGTGAACTTCCAGTCAAACTGCTGAGGTTCAAGGCGAAAGGGGTCTTTCCTGACTGAAGCTGGTTATCTTTGTTGTGGCTGCCATCGAGGCTTTCCCAACCACCCCGTTGGGGCACATGGGTGGGGGGATGCAATTGCAACTCCCTTGAGGGTTTCCTTTGGGGCAGCTGGTTGGCCTCTGGGGGGACAGAAAAGTGCACGAAATGAATCCCCTAAACCAGGGGTGTGCAACCTTTTGGCTTCTCTGGGCCACATTGGAAGAAGATGATTTGTGTTGGGCCACACATTAAATACACAAACACAAACTGGTGAGCAGAAAAAGGTCTGTGCATAATGTTTGTGCTATCTGACACCACAGGTAAGCAAAAAAGTCCTCACATAATAATCCTGAGTCAGCACGCATACGTTTATTTTACGTAACATTGCGACATGACATTGTCGCCCACCAAGTTCATGCTCAAGAACCACACAATCGAGTTACCAAAAAATAGCAAAATAATGTTTTAAGTAAGTTTATGGTTTTGTGTTGGGCCTCATTCGTAGCCCTCCTGGGCTGCAGGTTGGACAGCCCTGCCCTAAATGGATGAAAAATACACTAAAGGGCTCTCAGGAAATTTTTAAAGTTTGGAGCCTTTTGCCGTGATTTTGTTCTAGGCAGCCATTTTCAGCCTTCTAGAAAACAGCTGAGGAGGGGGAGGGAAGAGAGTGGGGTGCTGTGGGTGCCCCAGTTGCTGCCTCATCCCTCCCAGGAACCCTCCCCCCTCCTTTGAGGGTAATTTGTCTTGAAGAGAGGGCCTTCTCTGTGGTGGCCCCCAGACTCTGGAATGCGCCCCCCCCCCGAGAGGTCCGCCTGGCACCGACTTTAAACTCCTTCTAGCACCAGGTAAAGACCTTTTTATTCAATCATCATTTTAACAATTAAGGGATTTAGACGTTTTAAGATTTTTTGTTTTCTTTGGTTTTCGCAGTCATACTTCCCCTTTTATTTTTCCTGTCTTATTTCTTAGTTTATAATGTTCAATTTTAGATGTTTTAATAAGTCTGGTTTTATTACTGTATTTCGGAATTTTGTACAGTGGTATCTTGAACTTTCGGTACCTCATGAACTTAATCCATTCCACGACACTGGTGGTGACCGAAATTGGTCATGAGCCAAGTTTTGGCCAGTCACAGAATCTCAGCCCCACCTACCTCACAGGGTTGTTGTTGTGGGGATAAGATGGAGGAGGAGATGTAAGCTGCCTTGAGCCCTTTGTAGGAAAAAGGCAGGGTATAAATCAAATAAATAAATAAATACATTTCCCCATAAGGTTCAATGTAAATAAGGTTAATCCATTCTGTAACTATTTTTTTTAATCAGGAAAATGTGAAGCAAAGTGACAAAGAACAGCAAAGATCGTGGCCATCTCCCCCCGCCCCCCAGCATGACCGCGATCGCGCCCGTCATCCCTGCATGTGTCCATCATCCTGGCGTGCTGGGGGGGTGGAGAGAAAATTTCGACCCTCTACCTCCCACCCCCAGCACGATCGTGGCCATCACCCCACTCAGGGGATGGGGGTGGGGAGATGGCCCTGATCGCGATCATTACCTGACGTGGAGTTCACCACCTGCGGCAAAATTTTAATGACATTTTTGTTCGCGACCCGATCTGGTTGTGAACGGAGGTGTTTGTGAGCCGATGTAAGTCATCCTGAGTGCTGGGGCGGAAGGACGGGATACAAATACTTGTAATAAATAATAAATAAATTTGGCCTTTGAAATCTCTTCTTTGCTAGCTCAAGAACTTAGAGCTAAGATTGGAATAACCCTAGATAGCATCAGGATGGCACTCCAAGCAGCATGTCCCAGAAGAAGAACGTGTTATTCAGTTAAAAAAAGTATTCAAACACCCCCAGGCTGAACTGTGTTTTAAGTCACCAGGGTACACAAACACACACCATTTTCAATGCAAACTGCTTGGTGTGCCTTTCCGCCCAACCTGTTGTTTTCCAGACCTTTTGGCCCACAGCCCCATCCTCCCCAGCCCGGGGCTGATGGGTTTTGTAGGCCAACTGGGTGCGGAAGTGTGGTTGGAGGACATGGAAGTTGCCCCCAGGTATCGGGTGAAGTCATCGCGAAAGACCGGCTGTGGAGCGTAACTGTACTTCAATGCTCTGTGAATGTAAATAGATCACTAGCATTTTTCAGTATTTGGGGTATGTGTGTAGGATGGAGTGAGAGTAGCCCTCTGCCTTCAGTATCCTCCAAATAGAGGTTGACACAGCAGGCCTTGAGTCACCAAGACCCCCGCCCCCCGCCCCTCCAAAGAACGCCCTGCCAAGCACATTCCTTCCTAGCATAGAAAGTTGTCACACGGAAAATGCTGCAGGAAAACCAGTGTGGTGTGGAACACTGGACAGGGGCCCGGGTGGTCCGGGTTCAAGTTCCCCCTGAGCAGCTTTGGGCCAGTCCCTGACTCTCAGCATCACCTACCTTACAGGGGTGTTGTGAGGACACCACAAAGAGGTAGATTCTATATAGGAAAGAAGATCTTGTCCTTCCAGTCCATCTCTGCCAAAGCAGCCCGAGCTATTTGGACTTAACTCTGCACTGTGCTATAAACTGGAACGATCAAATGCACGTGACTTTGAGCCGTTGGCACACAAGTGTTATTTCGACCGCAACAGCAGCGCACCTTCCTCTGTAATGCTTGAGGGCTTGCCGGGACAAAGCACTAGGACTATTTTATAATCGGGGATGCCACCCCCTCCGATTTCCCTGTTCGCTCTGAGCCTGGGAGAAATCCTCACCTTTACTGTGTGGGAAAGGCATTTCCCCAACAATATTCCATTTTTCTCTGTTGCAGTGCAAGTATTTTGAGCAGACTTGGTTCTGAGCAAGATAGGAGGGCCATGCATCTTCTGAAAGGACCTCCTAGTAAGGTGTCCCAGGAAGGGGTGGGTGTGAGCCCCTGCACCTGTTGAAGTGGCCAAGCCCTGTGGAAGACCATGGAGATCCAAGGCTGAAACCCTGCAGTAGCCACATACCACACTGGTGCAGCTCAGCTACATACCTGCTGTGTTTGGCCTACCTCGCAGGGCTGTTCCTTGGGAAGGAACCCCATCCTCCACAGCTAAGCATTGTTGGTGGGCATGCTGAATTTGCCTGTGGAAGCTGGGGATGCACTGGACTGGCATGTGAGAGTTCTCGAGCTGAGTTGGGGGACAAAGGCCCAGGCAAGGCACAGAATTTCAGTATGAAAAAGGTGGCTTCATTACGAATTTATATGCAAAATAATGGGACATGTTGCAGTACTCGTGGGCAGGCAGGGCTGGCAGAAGTAAAGGGGGTGGGTAGGAAGACCAGACCCACCCTGCACGAAGCAGCCCTGCTCTTTTGTCACAGCTCCACTTGAAAAGTCGTCGTCATCATCAAATGTTCAAGTCAGTCTGGAAGGGAAGCAAAATGACGTGTGTTCGCACTCATGATCTGACCCAGAGGTTCAAAAGTGGGGTGAGGTGGGAGGGGAAGAAGGAAGCCCAAGGCACTCAGTGAGTGCCGCTGTGACTCAGTCCCCAAGGTTCTCCTTCTGCATGCCAAGGTTCCCAGTTTCAAATGCCAGCATGTCCCATTAAGGCTCTCAGCAGGACAGGAACGAGAATGCCCACGTGCCAGAAAAGTGACTCACTGGCGCATCACGCCTGCGGGAATGTTGCCCCCTCCCGCAGCCTTCTAGGGCATTCCGAAAACATCTCCCTCTCAAATGCCTTACCACACTTCCGTCCACTGCTGCTCCTGGTCCGGTCAGCAGGTCCTGGATTGCTTTTTAAATCTTCTGGCACTCGGCTTGGGGGTCACACTGCCATAGTCGATATGGTTCAGGCCCAGCTGCTGGGGATCCTCGTGTCCATCTCCAGAGGTGCGCAAGTCCAGGAGCTCCCGTCCCCAGGCTCCAGAGTTGGGGATCCCTGCAGTACCCTCGTCCTCTTCTTTCAGACCCTCCTGAAAAAAAATCCACACCTGCTATCGGGGCAGAAGCGGCAAGGCCTCTGTGCATGTGACCTGGACATGCCACAGGAGGCCCGATTTGGTCTGTGAAGTTTGCACACTTGATCTCCTTCTTAAGGAGGTGGAGGTTCCCTTCCCACCGCTGCCCTTGACAAAGAGTGTGCAGGAGAGCCTCTCTTTTTCTCCCCACCTTTGGATGTTCCTTTAACATCAGCACTCCACTCCTCTCCTCCACTTCCAGGTCTGTCTCAGTGTTGTTCTGTGATTTGTACTCCTCGCTGTCTGTCTCCGACTTGGTGGGCTGGTGGAATTCAAGTAATGGTGGCTAAGTTGACTTGTCTGGGCATCCTGTCTCACACAGCAAGGCAGGGGAGCAGAGGTCAAGCCATCCCAAACACGCAAGACACGGGCAGCTGAAGAAGGACCAGCAACAAGCTAAGACGGTCCAAGCAGAGAATACCAGTTCGGGCCCACTGGAACTGCCTGCCTCCACCTTTCCAAGCTGAATTTAAGGTGCCAATTTTGACCTACAAAGCTGTACGTGGATTGCGACTGCAATAGCCAAGGAAGTGAGGAAAGGTTCCCTGCAAGAACCTACCTTCCTTAGCTAAGGCTGTTCTCCAAGGGAGGCTGGAAAGCAGCAACAAAAGCGCAGGGGCTTCTTTGTGGTGGTCCTCCAGTTGTGGAACAATCTTTCTGATAACGTCTCCTTGGACACCGAGCTTATCTTTTCAGCGCCAGGTTAAGACTTCCCTCTTTCATAGGATGAGGTTTTAAGTCAAATCTTGATTTTTTAAAGTGACGCTTGCTTAAAATTATTTAGCTGCATATGTCTCTGTACTATATTTGCACCCAAATATACAAAGAGACAAAAGGGGGCCTGGCTGGTGTGTGGTAATGGCAGGGAAACAAACTGTGGGTTAAGGATTCAGAGAAATTTCCTCTGGGTAAAAGCTGCATAGCAGTGGAACAAGCTGCCTGAGAAGTTGGTGCTCCTTCACTGGAGGTATCTGAGCAGATGCTGGGCAGCTTTTCCAGGGAAAGCCCCACCCGTGCCCTACCTTGCACCCTGGGATGGACTAGGTGATCTTTGGGGTCCCATCTACAGCAACTATAATTTCAGTCTTCCTTTCTGCTGCAGCCTTGAATTGCTTTGCACAGTTCAGATAGAGAAGCACAGGCTTTTTTAAAAAAGCAGGAGGTTAAGAGAGCTTCCATGTCCAGAAGCAGACTTTCTGCTCCAAAGACTGGGATGCAAGACCAGAAAGAGTTTCATGCCCACTTTTCTGGTTTGAGGAAGGCGCTTGATGGGCAATGGTCAGAGGCCCAGCTAGATGGACCAGCGGCCCACCCCGCAGGGCAGTCGCAGCGTGTCCCCGTACCTGACAGGTGGAGTCATCTGGGTCATCTTCGTCGGACAGCTCTCTCAGGACGCTTTCTACCCAGAATTCATCTTCCTCCTGTTTCGTCTTGCTCCTTTTCCCAAGGAGGCTGAGCAGCATCCCCAGGGCCTCTGCAGAAAAAGGCACATGCTTTTCCGAAAGAGTGGCAGTTTGCATGGCTAACAAGGAGGTGGAGGTGGGAGGACGGACCCCGCAGGTGGCAGAAGCTGCTCTCTGAAGAGGGGCTGCTGGCATGGGTTGGCACTGGCCCAGCACCTCTCCGGCAGGGATCCACCGGCAAGCGTGCCCCGCTGCGCTTCTCCTGTTCTCCACGGCAAGCTGCTGGCTCCCCCGCCTCTTGCTGTGCCTCAGCAAGTAGCAGGTGAGCACAGCAGTGAGGTAGGAGAGGGAGAGCAGCACCCCTATATACTCATTCTATTTCTATCCCGTATTTCCCCTCAGCAAGCACCCTTCCATCACCTTCATTTCATGTCCACAACAGGTAAACAGGTTTTTTTTTTATTTAAACATCATTTTAATTGTTAAAACATATGATCTGGCCAGGGCAACTTCTTCTTCCTTCTCTTTCTCCTCCTATATTTTTATTGACTTATTTTATACTGATAATTTTAATTTTATATTTGTAACTCAGTGTATTTTTTGTAATTTTGTATTTAATGGTAATTTATTATGTTCTATTGTATTTCAATGTATTTTATCGTGTTGTAAGCCGCCCCGAGGTTTCGGCAAGGGGCGGCATAGAAATGTAATAATAATAATAATAATAATAATAATAATAATAATAATGAGAGTCTGAGACGGGTGTAAATCTCCCAGCGAACATCATGCCCAAGTGGAGGCTGGAATCTGATCTCCCGAGTCCCCCTCCAGCATTCTAACCATTAGGCCGTACAGCTTCTCCATGGGGGAATCATGCTGAAGAAACCCTCCAGAACCTGTAGCCAGCACTGCTCCAAAGCAGCAGGTTTGTGTCTTTGCCACCTCAAGGAAAGTGCCACGGTGCAGCTCACCGTTCACCATGCTGGGCCTGGAAATTTTTCCTTGTTTCACAGACCCATACCCACAACTAAGCGAGCGAGCGAGGAGGAGGGGCTGGCATGGGTCTCCTGTGCTGTGCTCCCAGAAGTAGGGTAAAGGTAAAGGTTTCTCCTTGATGGGCGTGAAGTTGGAAGTCCCCCCCCCCCCCCCGAGGCTTATGCAAATAGGGCGGTATATAAGAATCCCAAATAAATAAGTCCAGGCATGCCTGACTCTCGGGGGAGGGGGGCAGTGCTCCCCTCTGTTTCCTGGCCGAGGGAGCCAGTGTTTGGTCAGGTGGCCGCACGACTAAACACCGAGGTGCGTGCCCGCTGAAGTGGCACCTTCAAGACGACGCTTTGCAACCCTTCCTGGCCTTGCAGAAGGCAGTGGCGACTCTTACCTTTTAGGAACATGATGTTCAAGTTCCACAAAACCTGATGGAGCAGAGACAGAAGGAAGGCAAAGACGCAGCACAGTTTGCCCATGCCATTCATGACATGCAGCACCGGTCTGCTTGTCAATTTAGCCAGGAACGCCCGGCAGTTGGTGGCCCGCTGAGGAAGGGCAAAGTGAGTCCTGGGCAGCAGTTTGCGGAAGACCTGGCCAGGGCAGAAGAAGAGGTGTGTGAACCGGGGAACATCTGTATCGGGCCACTGCAGGCTGGCACAAATAGCTCTCTGGGTCCTCAGCCAGAATTCCTTCCCCAGAGAAGCTGGGGACGGAAGTTCAGACTTTCTGAGTACAAAGCAGGGGCTCACCCCTGTCCTGCAGCCCTCCCCCCATGGGGTAAGATTCCCAAACCCAAATCCTTCTGTCATGGTTTTCTGGCACCCACTGAAAACACTCATACCAAGAATCCTTTTGAACTGCTGCCACCGTTATATTGATTAACGCCTTGGCTGGTTCTTATTTCTTTCTTTTGTTTTTTCACTCCTCTGTAATCTCCACACTGAAATGTGGAGCCGAGCACATATTTTAAAATCAAGCATCTCACCTTTCCAAGGTGTAGCACTCTAGTGGCACTGGGGCTCAGTCCCAGCATCTTTTCCTGAACTGGGAAGCTGATGGACATGCTACATGTTTCCCTAACTCCCCTGAAGTTAGCTGCAGTCTGTGCTCTTTTTTGTAATGCAAACATGTTGGGGTGGGCTGGACCGGGACAGGGAATTAGGAATCCTCAGCTTTCTAAAATGCCTGCTTCTGGGGAAGATGGAAAGTGCTGCACTGGTGTTGGTTATAGTTCAAGGGTGCTGCCTGCAAGTTTGGGGCCTTCCATGGGGATGCGGCTACATAGAGCATGGCAAGGAACTCCTGCACTTCAGGATTACTCTTTTATTTATTTCAAGCTTTTATAGCCCATTGCTAGTGTCCCGGGAGGGTTTGCAACCAGCACAGACAAAACATGGCACCACATCCCTGTTAATTCAATTAAAATCACGATTGAAACCAATTACACATTAAAATAACAGGAGAATACAAAGGGTTTTGCCTGGCGCTGGAAAGGAAAAAAGGGTTGGCGCCAGGTGAACCTCTCTGGGGAGCGTGTTCCACAGTTGGGGGGCCACCACGGGGAAAGCCCTCCTTTGGGTAGCCACCCTCCCGATTCCCTTGAGGGTGAGCTCCCAAAGAAGGGCCTCTGACCCGGATCTCAAGGGCGGGAGGGCACATGGGGGAGAAGGCGCTCCTTCAGATATCGACTCTTGCTAGTGCACAGGAACCTGCTGGACTGAGCCAGGGCATTCTCATTGGTCAGCCCTTCTTAGACCTCTGGGAGATGCACACGCAGGGAACACACATGTGAACCCCAGAGCACTGCTGTGTTCAAGGGCAAAAGGCTTTCCTGCTTTCTAATGCCGGCTTCTGCAGGGAACTGGAGCATGTTTCCCAGCTTTGCAAGCATCCTTGACATTTAAGGCAGACGCAGCCTTCATTCAAAACCTGCGGGGGCGGGGGGAGAGGTGCTAACCAGGTAGAAGTCCACCTGGAGCGATTTTTCCAAACCAGGCTCTCAGAAAATTATCCCAGCTTCCCTGGGCCTAGAGAAGGACCCCACAAGAGAGGGAAATTCGGCAACACATACAGCTGCTGGAAAAGAGGGCTGCCACTGGCTGTGTGGGCTGGGAATGATAGGAGGGGTAGTCCAATGTATCTGGATGGCTCCAGGTTGGGGATAAAATGATCTCCAGCATAGTGGAGAGAAAAGTGGATTACTTTTTCTCTCCTGTTTTCCACTTACCAAGAAACCTGCCTGTCTCACCTAGGGATAGACACCTATGCAAACCGCACCTGGATTGTCTGTTGTCAAAATGGTTGCATCCTCTGCGGCTCAGCCCAGATGCTGCCTGAACCTGTTGAGCACACAGCCCATCCGTGGGCTTGGCTAATGGAAGCTTTGGCCCAAGAAAGGAATCTGGAATTGTTTTGGTGAGCTGGGCAATACTGGGTGTTGTGTGTGCCCTTCCTTCAGCAGAAGAGGGAAGACATATCTTTCTTTGTATTTTCCACCACTGGGACCCATTTTGCCTTGGTTTGGGCTGGGAGTGTGTGTGTGTGTGTGTGTGTGTGTGTGTGTGTGTGAGAGAGAGAGAGAGAGAGAGAGAGAGAGAGAGAGAGAGAGAGAGAGAGTCAAAATGCTGCAGTTCCAAAGCCTCTCTCTGTTTCACAGCTCTGGCTGCTGCTTAATTTTGTGTGGCTTGGAGAAAAACAGATTTTTCCCTAGGCACGCAAAGGAGTGTGCAGCCTGCAGCTACTGGGAGGTGGGGTCTCCTCGCTTCTCCTTTTTTCAGTGCGTGTGTTTTCTAGGGGTGCATGTCGCTCTGAGCCACTCCCCACTTTTGCAAAGTGCTGTTTGTGTTCTGCCTTGCTGGGTCAATGAGGCCCTGTGTTTTGGGGGTCAGGCCAAACTTTCAATTTCTTGGGCAAGCAAATGTCCTTCAGGGGTTGCCACACCCTCTGCAGGAGCCATTTTGCAGCAGGGCCCACAAGAGTCCCAAATTTGCCTAGAGAACCCCCCAAAACTTTGCCATCCTCTGCCTGCTCCTCTTAGATAACAACAGCATGAGCATAGTCCAAAAAGCATTAGGGAAATAAATGCTCAGTGGAAGTCCTGGGACATAACAAGGGCCTGTCCTACAAAACGCAGTGCTGCCCCCCCCCCCCCCCCCCCCCCCCCCCCCCTCGCGCCCCCCCCCCCACAACAAAAGGGCCCCCCCCAAAACACCCCCCCCCCCCCCCCCCCCCCCCCCGTAGCAGGGCTGTTTTGCCACTCCTCTGGCATAACATGCTTGTCCACTGAAACGGCACCCTCCCCAGTAAACCCAGCCTGGAATAAGCCCCCATTAAGTAAGCCCTCCATACACACAAACTGCAGCTCCAAGATGCCTTTCAAGAACAATGCGCACCCTCTTCCGAAGAACAGACACCACCCCGCAACCATGACCTCAAGGCCCCAATGCGGAGAATGCAAGCACAAGCCGTTACTGGGCCTTGGCACTGTGAGGCTGCCTTTGCATTCACCTGGAGGAAGAATACTCTTCTCCCCCAGGAAAATATAACTGACTTGGAGAGAAAAGGAACCCCACTTATGGTCAGGCAGAAATAGTCCTGCAGTTTCCAGAGCAGCTACATGCTTAAGAGCATTAACTCCCCACTGTACTGCAAGGGGGGGCCACTGGGGAAGGACTTGGGGGAGATATCCCACAGGTCAGCAAATATCCAGCAAGCCCAATCCTAGGCTCTTGAGCTGCTGCCCCACATTTCAAAACAACACCCCTGCTGTAAATGCAATGGTGTTCCCTGCGATCCCCTGCCACTCCCTCGTGGTACCTGAAAGAGACTGTTTGTTTTGGGCAGCTCCATTATGACTGAGGCATAGGTGTTACCTGCGGCTCCATGCAGCGCTTAAATAAGCTAGAGCCAGGTATTTCCATTCCTAGTTGGCCAGCTGAGCACAAAGATAATGGTGCTGATCCTCAGAGCACTTAAGCACCGGGTGGGGTTCTGCATGCTTGGTTAATTTCAGCAGCGCTGAATTCAAAACCTCTTCCCCCCTCCCACAAAACTGAGTGCAGTTTAAAGCAATAGCATGGAATCCTTCTCTCCATTGGGTTTCAGCCAGATGGTGCCTTCTGGATCCCAGCTAGAGGCAGGTGGGCAATGACCTTGTGGCTTGCGCACTGGATCTTTTCCACACTTAGCACGACCCCTGACGTGTAAGACCCCAGAAGCCCCTGGAATTCTTTGCTGAGTAAATGTGCCTAGAATTAAGCCATGAAGCAAGCATAGATGAAGGGAATGTACCTAACCGACTTACTAGGTCAGACTAGAATGGCCCAGGAGGACCCTGCTGACTCGCTCTGTTTCTATGTGTCTAATATGCATCTGCAAGACTCTCTGGTTTTCTAGTTGAGTCTGCAGAGAAACAAGTTTTTGGGCACCCTACAGAACACGCTGGCCTGAAGGAAAGCCAGTGGAAGAACTGCAGGTGCATAAGGACCTGGCAATTCTGTGGCCGCACATTTACTCAGAAGTACTGACAAGCGAGAAAGATACACCCAATTGAATGCAGAATTCCAGAGAATAGCTAGGAGAGATAAGAAGGCCTTCTTAAATGAACAGTGCAAAGAAAAAGAAGAAAACAATAGAATAGGGAGGACCAGAGATCTCTTCAAGACAATTGGAGATATGAAGGGAAGGTTTCATGCAAAGATGGGCATGGTAAAGGACCAAAATGGTGGGGACCTAACAGAGGCAGAAGAGATTAAGAAGAGGTGGCAAGATTACACAGAAGAGCTATACAAGAAAGAGCTTAACGTCCCTGATAACCACGATGGGGTGGTCGCTGACCTCGAGCCAGACATCCTGGAATGTGAAGTCAAGTGGGTCTTAGGAAGTCTGAGCAACAACAAAGCTAGTGGAGGCAACAGTATTTCAGCTGAGCTATACAAAATCTTAAAAGATGATGCAGTGAAAGTGCTACATTCAATATGCCAGCAAATTTGGAAAACTCAACAGTGGCCACAGGATTGGAAAAGGTCAGTTTACATTCTGATCCCAAAGAAGGGCAATGCCAAAGAGTGTTCAAACTACTGCATCATTGCACTCTTTTCACATGCTAGCAAAGTGATGCTCAAAATCCTACAAGCTAGGCTGCAGCAGTATGTGGACCGAGAAGTACAGGCAGGATTTCGAAGAGGGAGAGGAACTAGAGGTCAAATTGCCAACATACACTGGGTCATTGAGAAAGCTAGGGAGTTCCAGAAAAACATCTACTTCTGCTTCATTGACTACTCTAAAGCCTTTGATTGTGTGGATCACAACCAAATGTGGCAAGTTCTTAGAGATGGGAGTCCCAGAACATCTTATTTGTCTTTTGAGAAACCTATATGCAGGCCAAGAAGCAACAGTGAGAACTGGACACGGAACCACTGATTGGTTCAAAATTGAGAAAGGAGTTCGGCAAGGCTGCATACTGTCGCCCTGCCTATTTAACTTATATGCAGAGCACATCATGAGAAAGGTGGGGCTGGATGAATCACCAGTTGGAATTAAGATTGCTGGGAGAAATATCAACAGCCTCAGATATGCAGATGATACCACTCTCATGGCAGAAAGTGAAGAGGAACTAAAGAGCCTCTTGATGCGGGTGAAGGAGGAGAGCGCAAAAGTTGGCTTGAAACTCAACATTAAGAAAACTAAGATCATGGCATCCAGTCCTCTCAGTTCCTGGCAAATAGATGGGGAAGAAATGGAGGTAGTGACATATTTTATCTTCCTGGGCTCCAAGATCACCGCAGACAGGGACTGCAGCCAAGAAATTAAAAGATGCTTGCTCCTTGGGAGGAAAGCTATGGCAAATCTAGACACCATACTAAAAAGCAGAGACATCACCCTGCCAACAAAAGTGCGTATAGTCAAGGCTAGGGTTTTCCCAGCTGCAATGTATGGCTGTGAAAGCTGGACCATAAGGGAGGCTGAGCACTGAAGAACTGAGGCCTTTGGATTGTGGTGCTGGAGGAGACTCTGCGAGTCCCTTGGACTGCAAGGCGACTAAACCGGTCAGTCCTAGAGGAGATCAACCCTGACTGCTCTTTAGAAGGCCAGATACTGAAGATGAAGCTCAAACACTTTGGCCACCTAATGAGAAGGAAGGACTCCCTGGAGAAGACCCTGGTGCTGGGAACAATTGAGGGCAAAAGAAGAAGGGGACAGGGCAGAGGCTGAGATGGCTGGATGGGGTCACTGGGGCAGTGGGGGTGAGCTTGGGTGGACTCTGGGGGATGGTGGGGGACAGGAAGGCCTGGAGGAGTGCTCTCCGTGGGGTCGCGATGGGTCGGACGCGACTTCGAGACTAACAACAACAACAACAGCTGACTTCAAGGTCATACATGCCTGTAAAAGGGACAGAGCAGCACCTTTACGTATTTATTTATTAGGTTTATATCCTGCTTCCTTCTTACCCTGAACTCAAAGCTGCTTACAACCTTCTCTTTCTGCTGCTCTCAGTCTAACCCTCGCACCAACAACCTGGCAAGGTAGACTGGACTGAGAGTCTGTACCTGGCATAATGCAGTTTCTAAATTTTTTGTCCCCGTTTACAGACACTCCCTTACCTCTGGAATCATGCAGTCCAGAATTGTAGAGTTCAC